TGCACACTGGGATTTCAAAACTCCCCAAAAGCAAAGGGTTAAGCATAATATCAACTCAGATAGAAAAGGGAAAGGCAGTTACAGAAACATATTTGCAGAGATTCCAGATATGAAAATAATTTTGTACAAATTTCACCTTGGTAATGTCTTTCAAACTGTGTAGGAATTTGAATTGTTTCACAGAAGGGCAGTCAACAGTCTTCCTCTGTATAGCCCGGACTTAATATTTCATTTTAGAAAAAGTAGTGATGTTTTAAAGAGGGCAAAACACTGCTTGGAGGAATTTTGATTACCAAAATGATGTATAAGGAGGAAGAGTCCACGTTGAGTCCTTTGCATGATAACTTAGAAAGTTTTAAAGTTTGTTATTTGTAGAAACAATTCTAGGATCGTAGAAAATGTGAGTGTATCTCTGAGGCGGAAGTCCGAATGTGGCTTCTGATAGAATCATGAACTTCCTAAGACTTTCTCTTTTTGTTTCAGTTAGGGATTATGTTCAACAGCATATAACAGAAACATAACTGTAGTGGCTTAACAGAACAAGGACTTTTTTTTCTCTCACAAAACAATAAGTCTGGATATAGGAGGTATAGGGTCTGTGCAGTAGCTTTGCAACGTCATCAACATCCTGAATTTCTTTTGTCTTTTTCTTCCATCATCCTCATAGTTACTTCATGATCACAAGGTAGTATTCTCTACCACTAGTCTCCCTTCTATATTTTATGAAGGAAGAATAAGAAAGCTATGAGGGGAAGGGCTGGTATCTGTGTCAGCAAAGCAAACCTACCCCAGTGGCTTTAGCTAAGCTCGTTGACCAAACCATGTCATCGTATGGCCAGCCCTTGCTATAATAGAGTCTGAGAGTAGGTGTTTTTCTCCCTGCATGCATTGCCGATAAAAAAATAAAATACAAGTTTTTTTAGTAAAAGCAAAGGAGAGAAAGGATCTTGGGTAGGCAACCAGCAGGGGGTTGTTTCAAGACACTTACCGTGCCCATTATGATTTGGAAGGAACCCTGGTGGTACAATGGTTAAGCACTCGGCTGCTAACTGAAAGTCCAGAGGTTTGAACCCACCTAGCAGCTATGAGGAGGAACAGTCCTTTACAGCCTAGGAAACCGTATGGGGCACTTCTACTCTGTCCTATAGGGTCACTATGAGTTGGAATCAACTCAGCAGCACACCACAAAAACAACATTATAATTTGGCAGTGTCTGTGACTTTCTGGTGGTTATTTTGTACATCACATCTTCTTATTCATAATGTACTTGATTATAAATAGATTTTGTGCAAAATAGCTTTAGTGCACAGAGCTGGTGTTTTCAGGGAATAATGACATCCTTATAGCTTGTTGCTGGAGAGTTCATTCTTGCATAGTGCTTCAAAAAGACAAACAATAGTAAAAAAGCAACCAACCAAACAACCCCCCCAAAACAACTACTCAAGCCTACAGAAAGGGTAGGAAGGTATGCTAGACTGACAATGCTGGATAAGAAATCAAATCTCATCTGACAGCATTCTTCATATGGTATCTTGGAGAGTTGAAATCTGAGGGATGCACTGTGTTGATACCATCTGTCTTAATTATCTAGTGCCGCTCTAACAGAAATACCACAAGTGGATGGCTTTAACAAAGAGAAGTTTATTCTCTCACAGTCTAGGAGGCTAGAAGTCTGAATTCAGGGTGCCAGTTCCAGGAGAAGGCTTTCTCTCTGGAGGAAGGTCCTTGTCATCAATCTTCCCCTGGTCTAAGAGCTTCTCTGTGTAGGAACCCCGGGTCCAAAGGATGCGATATTCTCCTGGCTCTTGTTTCTTGGTGGTATGAGGTCCCCGTGTCTCTCTGCTAGCTTCTCTTTTATATCTCAAAAGAGATTGACTTAAGACACAACTTGATTTTGTAGATTGAATCCTGCCTCATTAACATAATTGCCGCTAATCCCACCTCATTAACATCATAGAGGTAGGATTTACAACACATAGGAAAATCATATCAGATGACAAAATGGTGGAAAATCACATAATACTGCGAATCATGGCCTAGCTAAATTGACATACATTTTTGGGGGACACAATTCAATCCATAACAACATCTCTCTCTCTGTAAAGGGTATCCTCTATAAGTTTTGTAAAAAATACCCCCCAATCCTTCAAATCAATTCTAATAATAATGGTAATATAATTAGCTGTGTCAATTGAACACTTAGTAATGTGCTTCAGGCTAGCCTGATTGTAATGTGACATTCCCCACTGGTTTACTGTGAAATCTCGCTGAAACTTATTTATTTTTCAGCCTTATTATGTTTTTGTTTAAAAATCAATCATTTACTTTTTTGTTGAATGTTCCCATTTTATAGTTTTGTGTTCTTGTTTTATGGATGGTATTACATACAGATTTTTGGGAAAGTTTTCTTCTGATCTTTATATGCTTGCTATTTTCTCTAATTTCTTTCTCAGTTTATTTGGGTTACTGTGTTCCATGTTGGAAACCTTTCTCAAATGGTTGGTGGATGTGTGTTCATTTACTTATTTTTTAAAACTGGTAATGCTGTTTTTTATTCATTTATTTATTTTCCAACTCTTTATTATGAAAAATTTTATGCATACAGAAAAGGGTAGAACAATGTTTAATATCAGATTGAACAATTATTGACATTTCGGTATGGATCTATATCTATATACACATCTATATCTTTCTGCGTCTATTGTGGAATCATTTTAAAGAAATTTACAAATATTGTAATTTGCAATTATATTTTACCTGTAATTGTTTCATAATGTATCTCCCAAGAATCAAGGCATTTTGATACGTAATCATGCAATCAGTATTACCTTTAAGAAAATTAAAAACAATTCCTAGTATTATCTAATATCCAGTCCATTTTCAACTTTCACAAGTTATCTTTAAATATATTTTCAACGTAATTTTTTTGAATCAGGATCCAGCCAAGTTTTATGAATTGCATTTTATTATTATGTCTCTTTAGTCTCTTTTAATCTAGAATGGTCTCTGTTTTAAATTTTATTTATTTTTTATGACCTGACTTTTTAAAAAGAACAGACCAGCTCCCTTATAGAATGACCCACATTGTAGATTTGCCTGATTGTTTCCTTGAAGTATTTTTAACTTAGTATTTCATCTTCTGTGTTGCATTTAAATGGACTTTAGGTCTAAAGACTTGGTTAGGTCAATTTTTTC